CATGATCATGATCTTGATGGCGAAGGTTGCGAGCAGGATCAGGATGGGGACGATACGGTTAAGGATGACGAGGATGTGGGTTTCGAGGGCAGGGATACGCGTGATGCACATGGCTCAGCAACATATAGTGATGACGGGGAGGACGAGGACAATGCAACGACGACAGCGACGAGGAGGCTGAAGACGAGAATGTAGGGCAGGCCGCGTGTCCCATTGCGATTGCCCCGTCTCTTCCTTGCCCCCCCCCCTTCTCCCCCTCCTCCTCGCCCTTCTCGTCTCCCTCCTCTGCGCCAGCTGTTTACGGCGGCGCCGTCCTCAGTCGGACGCCGAGCTGCTCGTGCCGCTGGTGTCCGACGCCGCGTGCTTCCTCGCCTGCTTCTTGGCGGGGGTCTGCAGGCCCTTGCCCTTGCCCTTCAGCTTCGGCTTCGGCGGGACCCTGGGAGCGGCGACAGTTGACTTCTTGACGCTGGCGGGCGGCTTGGACGAGCAGTCGGAGGAGCTGGCCGACTTGTGCGTCTTGAGCTTCTTCTTCTTGGAGTGCTTGCCAGACTTGACCGTGTCCTTGCCGCTCTTGTTGTTCTTGACGGCGTCCTTGTCCTTGCTGTCCTTCTCCTTGCCCTTGGAGTCCTTGCCCTTCTTCTCCTTCTTGAGGTCCTTATCCTTCTTCTTCTTGATGCTGCTCGTGCCCTTCTTAGTGCTGCCCTTGACCTTCTTGGAGCGGTGCTTGCCCTTCTTGGTGGTGCTCACACTGGAGTCCGAACTGCTCGACGCCTTGCCACGTTTCTTCACCCTCTTGGTCTTCACCGAGCTCTCGCTGCTCACCTCGCTGCTGCCCTCAACATCGGCACCCTCCTCCATGTCAACGTTGTGCTCCTCCTCTCCGTCAGCAGTCGCCTCGGTGCCCTTGCCGTTGTTGCCGCCGCCGTCTTTCACCTCGATCTCGCGGTCCGCTGACTTCCTGCGAGGGCTGCTAATGGGCGGGGGGGGGAGAATAGGCGTGGGGGCACCAATGCCTACGTCGGTCGAAGGGCGCGGGGATTGACCTGGCGAGGGTGGAGAGGGGGAGGACGAGAAAGGGGCGGGATGGAAGACAGGATCCGAGGGACGGGTCGGTCTTCATAATCCTGGACTTGGCGACTATCATCCTGGATCATCCTCGCTCCTACCTTGCTGGCCAGTGTCCATGGCATTCACATCCGTGCCCTCCCGCTCCACCCTCGGTGATTGCGCCCAATGTCCTCGACCCGTGGCGCTCGAACCGCTTCTCGAAGTAGTAGACCTTGGCCTTCCTCTTCGCGCAATACTTGGCGAGGCCATTGGAGCACGCCCACGATGAGTAGTTGCCCCCCTGCTCTGAGTCTTTGAACTCGTCGTCCAGCTGGGACCTCGAGAGCCACGTGCCCTCCGTCTCGGTGGCTGACCTGGCTGCGCATGAGAAGTGGCAGCACGAGCATAGCGAAGGTGTGATGTCGTAATTAAGTCCACCACCGCCGCCATCATCACGGTCGTAGTTCTCACCACCCTCAACGTAACCGTCGCCACGAACATCATCATCAACAGCATCACCATCATCAACATTACCAGTTTCAGCATCAGCATCATCATCAGCAGCCTCATCAGCATCAGCATCATCATCGCCATCCTCACCATTACCATCATCGCCACCATCATAATCATACTCGGCATCAGCATCGTCATCAGCAGCGTCAACATCGGCATCATCAACTGCATCGTTAGTACCGTCACCATCTCTACCATACTCCTTATCATACTCCTGATCATCAGTATCGCAGCCATCACCGCACTCACAGTCAATCATCAGCACCTGCATCATCGTCGCCACTATCATCACCACAATCAGCATGCTCAGCATCAGCATCATCACCACTATCATCACCACCATCCGCACCGTCAGCAGCATCAACACCACCGTCGTCATCAGCATCATCAGCATCAGCATCATCATCATTTTCGTCGTCAACATCGTCACCGACATCACCATCACCAGCATCATCATCGTCATCAGCATCACCCCACCATCATCACCACCATCATCCTTAGCAACGTCCCCATATTCATCCACATCATCGGTCTTATCCTCGTCACCCCACACGTCGTAGTCACGATCAGAACTATCAGCATCACCGTCAGCGTCGTCACCGCCGTTACCCAACCAGTGACCACATTGACTTCCTGATCCTCAGGACGGCACCCGCCTGGTTGAAGTCGCTCTCCGCCTTCTCCCAGGCTTCTCTCAGCTGGCGCCGAACCTCGGGGCGTCGACCCCCTCATCAGCATCGCATCCCCCTCGCGAAGGGGGGGTGAGATGGCGAGGAGGGATTGTGTGTTGATCTCTCTCTATATACATGTAGAGA